CAAATAGTATCATTCAGAATTGTTTTCTGAAAAAATTTCGCTTAAAAGGTTTTAAAGGTAATTTTTCCCATTCCGTTATTTTGCATTTTCCATCATAGAATTTTTCTGCGTCAATCTTATTTGTGATCTACATAATTTTAATTGATTCATTTGCATGTTATTTGTGTCGACGCGATTATTGCAATTAAATTCGTATTGATTGTGATTTTTGTTTTTGATCGTGCTTGATGACCAAACTATATTTTTTAATATATTTAAATTTTCATACTGTTCTTGCCGACTTTCGTATTTCATAATTAAGGAAGATTTGGTACTGACAAATCTTTTTGCAATATTTTCAATTTTATCTGCAGAGAGCGATTCTTTATTCGTGCCATTTATACTTTGCTGTTCCTTGAAAATATTATCGATATATATTATATAAAAAAAGAAAAGATTTAAAAATTTATCCCGAATTTTATTTTAGATATTGTACCTTCAAAGAAGAATTTGATAACTTTGATACTTGTTTAGCAAGAGCTGCTAGTTTAATACTACTTTTTTTGATAACATCTTATTTTCCATCTTCATATTATACCTACTATTTCAATTTACTATTATTATATCAAATAAATCTTAGCTGTATATATAACATTTATATAACATATATGTATGTTATTAGGAAAAAATTGCGCGATGCTAATTTGATCATTTTCTATACATAAAATGTGGTGATAATTTTGAAGTATACAACTTATGTAATACCTTAACGCAGGATATGCTGGGCGTTTACTGCAAAGGTAATTATTGTGCTGATTGTCGTAAAAATTAATAGGATTCAGCGTAGATATCTTTTGTAGAGTAGTATCCGTAGTTATAGTATCCTGAGGAATTTTCGAAGAAACGCTATAACACATTGCAAGCAGCGTTTCTCCATTCAATTCACCGACATAATTTTGTAGTGGATCATTTTCGTCTAATTCATTTTCCAATACATCCAACTCTTCCTATTGAACATATTATGATACTCATTGTCAGACAACATTTATTTAGTGAATTTACACTGTACTTACGTTATCATCATCCCCAGTCTCTTCAGTCTGCGGTGTATTAACATTTTCACACCTTTGTATTTTCAATATATGCTCTAGATGCTTTCTAATATACCGAAATTATCATCATTTAAGTTAATTTTTTTAATAAAAGAAAATTGTTGTGTATCTTCTAATTGTATTTACAAATGTGAACTTTCTAAATCATCACTCCAAAAGATTTACAGTGTAAGAACATACATTATTATATTAGTCGTATTAATTATAAGTGCATAAATTACTCTTTAATGTGATTATTTTCTTATTTTCTATATAGTAAAAATTTGAATCCTTGCTTTAGAAACTTTATATATCTATTTTATCCGGGCATACCTTATTTCTGCAGTTTTTTGATTGTTACTAAGATAATCCGATATATTCGAACATTTTATTTTTTTGCTTCCTCATTGATTACAGGATTATTTAAAAAATTATTTAGCGCTCCATTGATATATGGTAGAGACTAGTAAATAATATAAAAACTTTATATATAAAGATTTCTTACATTAATCTTTTTAAATTTTTTTTCTATATTACATTTTCGTTAAATAATTCATATACTCACAGATGCATGATCTATCGAGAGAAGAATGAGTAATGTAGAAACGAGTAAAGAAGATATTTTAGATGCTCTAGCTTGCGCTAATCGATGTAACGATAGATTCATTAAAAGTGCGGTAGCATATTCAAGCCTGTATAAACTTATGAGGCGACATTTGTTGTGTAAATGATTGATTAACCATTCCAACAATCCGTTTTCTATCATATATATCCGTTGCTGTCTGCGTAAAGATAGTTTCTGTAACATCGCTACCATCATGTCACATGCAAAAACGTCAACTCCGTCAGCGTTATTACTATCGAGACACACAAAGATCTGAAATATCGAGGATCGTAATTAATATTAACAAGTTTATATTTGAATTTACTTTAGTTTCGTAATTTCGAGTAAAATATTTTTGTTTAATTTGATATTACGAATAATGAAAACGTACATAAATGATTAATTTTTATTAACATACCACGTTTACGACGGTAGATCCGACCGATAGATAATCTCTTCCGCATCTAAAGGATGCTAATGTGTTTAGTAATCGTGCAGTAAACTGTTGTAAAAGATGCCTGGCATAAGCTTCTCCTACAGTCAGCAGACACGGTAAAATCGGCTTGCCACTGTCGCTAGCAATTTGTCCATGAAGCCCCATTAAATCGTGGCTTATATATTCGTGCAAAACTTCATCCTGTTCGTTCAACTGCGCAAGCGTTATTTTCTAAAAATATAAATTTATTAAAATAATATGTAATTAATATGTATAACTAATATGTATTTATATTACTTTATTTGTTTATTAATAATTTTAATACCCAACGTAATGCTTGCAATAGCAATAATTTTGTCTTCACATCTCCATTAAGTAGATGTAATTTGATTTTTTTATAGTCCAATAATTTTGGAGATACTGATAATGCTGCGACTTGATCAACTTTAGGCCGGGCAATTGTTTTTACATCAGTTTGACCGAATTGCAACAAGGATGGCTATTGAAAATGATGAAATATTAAAAATACAAAGTTTTTGAAAAATGTCAAGATTTTCTTTATATACTTACATAGGAAGTCTCTCTTATATTTTGATTAAATAGATCTGGAAATATCTTCATGCAAATTTCGAGCGTTCGTTGTATATCAACAGTCTGTCCTTTTACTGAATTTTCCAATGCTACAGTTAATTCTCCGGCAACGTTTATTAGCTTATGATAGTCCGCGTGTAATTTGTGAAATCTCACTTTTAATTTCTCGTAATTTGTATGAACACTGCATAAATGGGTCTTGGTCAATACCAATTCTTGATTGCATTGGCCCAATTTTTGTCTAGTTTGTGCATCTTCAGCAAACTATTAACATTTTCTCCCGAATTCAATGTATCTTCTCGTGAATTCTTGATTATAATTTGATCTCCAGTAATATGTGTTTGTGTATCTCTGTAAAAAATAACACACATACAAATTATTCTATAATTTATTTGTGCTAAAATCATATAAAAAGATTCTCATACTTTGATTTTAGATTACGATTTGTTTTATGAGATAAACTGTATTGCTCCTCATCGTCATGGTCTTCTAAAAATATGGGTATATCTCTATCGTTTGGCACAATTAACGTATTATTCTTTATAATCTTATTTCGTGCAGCATCTGATTCTACCATTTCTACTTCTGTCACTGGCATAGTATGTACTAAATCCCGTGATTGTACTTTTTTAAGATTTATATTGTTCAAATCGATTAAATCCTATAAATTTCGTAAAAATTATAATTATAATTTGTATTTCAAATTTCTCATCGTCATTCGTTTCTATTATTAAATATAAACACGTGGATACACAGAATTCTCAAATTTACTCACTTGTTTATGATTTTTAATAAATAAATTGAGATTTCTCGATAGTTCATCCATCCAACTCTGTTCTAATATTTTGGAGAAAAAAGTGTCTGCATGAATATCTTCTATAAATGGCAGTGCATAAAACGATTGTAATTCTATGTCATTTTCTAATTCCTTGCCATCTCCATTCAAATAATCTTGTAATTGTTTCATGCTGTTATTTATATTTTTTTCGATTTCAGTTGCGTTGTTCTGTTTATTATTAATAATATCTTTAGATTAATTATTTTTAAAATATTTCATATAGTAAATTATTACATTAAGCATTAACATTTTATTTTAAACGTAATATATCGCGAGAATATTCACGAAGAATAAATATACAGAAAATATAATTAAACATATAGATATATATGTATGTACATAATTACCTCCTTGCAGTTCTCCAAAGTAGAATCTTCTACTGAAAACAATTTTGATGTTTTTATTTCTGATGTCAATTCTACTTTATAACAAAAATTAAGAAAATGGCATATAAAGTGCATATAAATTATATATATTGCATATTAAATTAACAATTTATCTTTCTTACCGTGTTCTTTATATTGATCAGCATAAAATTTACGTTTTGGTAATATAGCAAAATGCACATGTAAATAAAATGTAAATTTTTTATATTCTTCACACTGTTTAATGCTGTTAGGAAACAAATCCTTCCATAACTGGAAAAAAATTAAATATCTTATAATTAAATTAAATAGCTTATCTAATTTAATCTTATACATATATATGAGTGCAGATATTTGAGCTATAGTACATCTCTATACATTTACACATAACTTTTACAGATAACTTTTACCTGGAAAAATGTTGAATAATCTCCGGTATTGTAACATAATATTAATTGAGCATACGGATCTACAGTAGCTTTTAATTTGCGTGCCGAATTTTGAAAGCCCATTTTTGAAACTTCTTGAATTAAAACTTCAGCAGTGTTTTCCAAATTATGATCCATAAGAAACTGTAAAAGAATCACATTTTTAAAAATATGAAGTATAAGAGCATAATTAATTACTTTAAATGTAATCAGAACTGTCACGTTTATAATTGTATTATTATATATAATTATACCTGATGAATTACTTTAATGTTTTTATCAGCCATTTAATCCTCACATCAAAAACTTACAATTAATATACATTTTATTTATTTAGTTTAAAAGTATAATTATTCTAGAGAGAAAAAACTTCTGTTTTACAATTTAATTGTAAAAAAATTTTGTGTACAATTTACGAAGTACAATTGAAACAATTTAATTTATTAATATCTGTTTATACTTTGCTTTTACTTCACTTATTATTTAGTTTATTTTAGCAAATTTAACAGGCCGGTATTGTTCTCGTAGAAATTCATACTGCGGAATGTGTTAGTTTAGGTCATTAATCGATTTTATGCAAATTACACTATTGATCAACATATACAGCGCCTGAACAACGGCAAATTTGTATATTCTGGTATCTTGTGTGTTGTGCAGTAAGATAACTTTTACGATTAAAATTCGCACTCGTTGAACGTAAAGTCTACGTAATATATTGCCATGAACAATATTTGTTACGATGTTCCGGTATCCGTATAACGGAATTGCTAATTTGCCATTGCCATGTGACCCGCGGAAGAAAACAAACATTTGACGTTTACGACTGCGTACGACTGAAGCTTCTGCTAGCTGTCAGTTTCATCAATTTTCTCGTGTACGCACGCGCACGTATTGCATGCACGCGGTTCCTCAGCTGTTTATAATTCACAGTTGTTTACGTTATCGTTCATCGACATTTATTGATTCCTGAAATTATCTTTTGTAGGCTTGGCAAGGTGCCCATTCGTTCGTATTATTACTATTTAGAAAAATTGTAAAAATGAATGAGGAACGGAGTTCCTTATTGTTCAATGCAGTAGTTTCACAGGTTTATTTTTATTAGCTAATTGAGATACTCTCTCTTTACTTATATTTTAATTGAAAGAAAATCTACTTAAATATATTTTGTAAAACACAGATACCAGACACTGCGTGTTATATACCGAACTTTATCACCGAGGAGGAAGAGAAACAAATTATAAAATACATAAATAGTGTACCACAACCAAAATGGACGCAATTGAGTCACCGTAGATTGCAAAATTGGGGTGGCATACCACATTCTAAGGGAATGATAGCGGAAGAGATTCCTAGTGTAGGTAGCAAAAATGTAAAAATCTTAGAATTATTTTAAGGATAAAAAATTTGTAGATTTTTAATATTTGTGATAACATTTATGTTTAATATTTAAATACAAGATTAAATGAATATATTGATAAAATATTGATAATATTTTAGTGGCTTCAGAATTATATAGATAAAGTAACAGCTTTGAATGCTTTTGACAGTGCAGTATTACCTAATCACGTTTTAATTAATGAATATTTATCAGGACAAGGTATAATGGTACGTTGAATACAATAGGCAATAAGTTTTCTTTATGATGTATAGATTATATTTATGTTTATCACACATCACATATTTTTTTCTCTCAAATGTGGAAGTATGTATATATTGTGAACATTAATGTTTTTACTAGGCACACTCTGATGGCCCACTTTTTTATCCTGTTGTAACTACTATCAGTTGTGGTTCTCATACATTTCTTGACTTTTACAAACGGCTCGACACGACAGAGGTAGATACTGCAATGTACAATGAAAGATGCTATAATGCATATTTATATATAATATACATTCTTTTAGCAACAACTGCCCAAGTTAGAATTCAGCTTATTATTAGAACGCAGAAGTCTATTAGTTTTACAAAAGGACTTATATCACAATTATTTGCATTCTATAGCTGAAAGAGATGTCGATAGTATATCAGAATCTTCAATAAAAAATTTACATATGTGTACAGGAAAATTTACAGAAGGAGAAATAATGAAACGTGGTACTAGACTGTCTTTAACTATTAGACATGTACCAAAAACTAGCAAATTAAAATTAAAGATTTTTGATACATATATTTTGATATATTATCGAAATTTTTGAAAAATACAGTTACACTGAATAACATTGAAAATAAAAATAGAATTTTATCAAATTGCTTTTTTATTGTCACTTATTTTAAATTATTTATAAAGTAAATGTACTTTATGGACTGTTACGCATTTGCACATCTGTGTCCTCTGTTTCACTTTGAAGGCTCACATCAATTATTTCTTCATCGCACTCATCTAACATTCCTTGTAGAGAATGTATAGATGATATTAAAACATGGAATTGTTTACGACGCATTTCTAACTTGTGCTCCAACTGTTCTGATTTTTCCTGCAAGTAAAACATTATTCAAAAATATAATTAATTTTCGTATTTTTACAAGAGGTGTATATATACATATAAACATATTTTTTCGAACCTTCAAAGTGGCTAATTCTTGTTGTAATGTGGCAAGCTTGATGTCTGTTTCCAATCGATCTGGTTGTTCATTAATGACTTTGGCTAATACATCATATTCTATTCTATTCTTTCTCACACGTTTGGCATCTTGCAATTCTATTTTAGTTTTTTCTATATCTTCTTTAGCTTCTTCTATTTGTATTTCAATTTCTTTGGATAGCTGTTCATAACTATCTAACTCTTCTCGACTCATATTTGAAACTAGTCTGGATTTTTCTGTGCAAATTCACATTGTGCCAACTGTGATAGCATTCTTTCATGTAATGTATGATCTACATCAGAGCTGTTAATCCACTTTATGAATGATTTCAACAGCATATTAATTCTACGATCATCTCCTGTCCCATCGCCATCTATAAGTAATCTGCGACGTATTACTTCTTCTGCAAATTCAAATTTGTAATGTAGATTATATTACTTTCATATATCTTTCAATCATCAAGAGATCTTTAAGTCTTACTTATTTATATCAGATAAAACATGTTTATAATAAAATCTTATAATTGCATATATACTCAAATTATTATTCATTATTTTTAAATTAGTAAATATAATCAAATATAATCATAGAATGTTATTAAAAACATGCTATTTAAACCTCACCATCAGACATCTCGTATGTTTATAATGTAGTTTATAACCAAATAACACACGCATCGACGATTGACGTATTGAGGATGTACGATACGATATGTTTACATCACGGGTTTACATTTTTACATCATTGAATTATAACATACTAAAGTTTCTCTCTGTGATTCTCCAAGGGTAGAGAATAGAGAATGGCCGAATTTTTAGAAAAAAATACGAAGAGTTTGGTAGAGTCCACAGATGTCTATGGCCTGTAGTCCCTTTTTTGTTAGAAATTCGTTGATTGGATGTCGTTCTAGTACCATAGTAAAAAACATTGACTTGAAAACCAGCCTTTAGGATGCACAAATAACTAGACGCGTCATGAAAATGAAAAGAATTTTGACAAAGTTCACAAAATGAATCTTATTGTTTTCCGAAAGGTAATAATGAAATTACTCAGAAATTGGACAAGAAGAAACATATATATAAAAATATGAATTTTTTATTATTAAAATTCAAGTATAATTTATTATTTTTTATATATAGTGTGTTGACAATTTAATTGTTAGATTAACAAATCCTAGTTTTTCAGCGATAAACGTGCAATTATTTTTATTGCTTTAAATTTTATTTTTATTGTTTTTTCCTATGCATTTTTTTTATAAGAACTGCGATTTTTTCATCAGATGTGAGATATGGAAAAACATAATAAAGAGAGTTTTATAAATATAATTCTTGTTCAAAATAATATGTTAAAAATTATATCGAATAAAAAAAATAAAAAATTGCTGAAAATTTATTTATCTTCCACCTTTAGATGTACATTTATATCTAATTTATATAACTTTTGTGTATATCATTACAATAATTTTTTTTTTCTTTTTTCCATCTCTCATTTAGAGAAAATCTATATATATATATACGAATATATATATATATATATATATATATATATATATATATATATGTGTGTGTGTGTTGTTTGCGTGCGTGTGCGTGGCGTGTGCGTGCGTGTAATATATATATATTCTGTTTGTACAGTATAAATATGTTAATAAGGCAGTGAAAGTTAACAAGGCGTGGCTTTATTTAAATAGCGGTTTTATGATGTAGCATTTAAAGAAGCGCAGCGCTATTAATATATAATTAGTCAATATAATATTAAAGATATTATACGACAAAATAGTCATGTGAATTATATGTTGATTTCGTTTGAAAATCATTTTAATTCAAAACTATTTCTGTACGAGGAAAGAATCGATGACGTATTCTGTTGCAATAGGATAGATAAATAAGAATATTTTTCTCTCATCGATAAAAAAAGACAATAGGCGACTATATATAGTCATCGGTTAACCTATGACTTGTTGAATTTCGCGCAGTATTGCAATGATAAAAATGATAAAATTAGATGTGCCATCAATTTGCATTGACGCACGTTAGATAACACATAAAACAGACATTGTAGTTAATTATACGTATAAAAATAATTGTATAGGTAGGACTCAATGATCTCCTCTATTTGAATGTTTGCGATTGAAAGAATAAATATATATGAATAATAAAAATGTTTAATTAGGAAAAATAATTTTGTATAGTTAATGAAAGACGGAAAGATAAGAAAATGACAGCTAAACTTGAACTCAGGGTAATCGTGTCTGTCTCTGAGAATCACAAATGTAATAAATAATTCAAAACGATAGACGAGAAGGAATACCATAGTTTTGATGTTTGAAAGGAAATAATAAATGATTGAAATGGAGATATGTGTGTGTGTGTGTGTTCGCGCGCGCGCGTGTGGTGTGGTGTGGTGTGTGTGAGTCTCTGCGCATAATAAAATATTTATATGTATAATATATAAGCAAAACTCACATTAAGGGGAGGAAAATAAATACAAATAAGTATAAAGAATATATATAATATATATATATATAGATATAGTATATAGATATATATTTAATATAAATATATATTAAATAGATTAATATATTTAAATGTAAAATATATACTTTTAAATTTTATATGTGTATATATATATATATATATACGTGTGTATATATATTATATATATATATATATATATAGATATATATATTATATATATATATTAAACTGTAGGAATGAAAAGTATGAGTAGAAAACTGTCTAAAAGAGAACGGATATTCTTTCTAGGAGAAAGGGGAAGAGCTCAAATGTGATCAGCTGATCGCCGCCGTGCCATTCTTAGACTAGTTCCGTTATGGTGCGTGGCCACGTTGTCTTTTTAGGTGATCAAAAATAATTGTCTTATGAGGTAAATAGACAAAAAATAATATTACCAGCGTCATAACAAGATATACATACATAGGAAAAAAAGGAGAAGGAATAGAGAATTCGCGGTATGTTATTATTTGATAAAAATACATATTGCATATTCAACGCTTGCACACGATATAATTTTGCAATTTAAATAAAATTAATTTTTTCATAGCCTTGACGAAAGATCATCGAGTCAAGTTCGCTGGAATAAATAAATGAGCGTAGCGCAATTTTTCCTCATAATACGGAGCGGATAGAGTAAAACTTTTCCATCGCACACGTTCATTGCTGTCGTCGTCGTCTTTGCAAGTCCCGTTCATTGTACAGTTATCGCTCCATTACATGCAGTTTGTGCATGTGTAATTTATACTGCACTGGTGTGTTAGCGCCTACAATCGTCGATTCCGCACGGCGCCGAACAGTCAAGATAGTGCGAAGCGGAGCGGAAGGAAGCTTCGGGTCGAAGACGGTCCTGACCTGGTTGACTTGCGCGGTTCCCGGCGTTCGCCCGAAAATTCGATGAGTAAGTGTCACGCCGGCCTGGCGTGGGACGTCACGCCACCGTCATTCTTCCACCTACGCGACTCCTCGATCAACGCGATATTTGACGTTCGTCGTTCTAGTCGACGACGACGATTCGCGCGATCGAGGACGAAGCGTGACTCGCTCATATGCATCAATGCCGTCTCGTATGATCTGATGAACATTTTTTATCGATAATTCGTGATAAGTGCGATGATACCGTGCTCGCGATGTATTGGCGAATGATAGGTGGAATATCGTGATGTAATCATCTCGGAGTGAAGAAACGATGTCAATACAAGTAAAAAATTAATCGCCTAGATGATTATTACTCGCCACTTATATAACGTAACGCGCATCGTCTTCTGTCATTTCTTATCATTTAAAATAGTGAACTGGTGAATATATATTAGAGAGGTAAGGCCTTTCTTTCTATATATACATATTTGTGCACATTATCAAAATGTGAGTATTCTTGGAAAGGTATAGAAAAGTTGTATACTTGTTGAAAATTTGACAGATATTACTATTAGTTTGACAGACCCTGACATTTTTATATGCATTATGTTATCATTTTTAAAGTATGTTAATTTCAAATTTACATCTCAAGGAACGACATATCTTATTTTGATTGTAATGCAGAAAACACTTTACAGAAAATTTATATTTATTTTGATCTTATGCATGCATAAGACATAAAAGCAAATAAGTTAAAGCAATACGGAAGATTTGAAAGCATGCACATAATACAATCGTATGTGACATTGCTTATGTAAATTTGTATATAGACATTTTAGACAGTGTGTGCATAAATGAAAGGTGATCTTTGATCCTGATATTTGATGATAATTGTATTCAGAATTGGTAAAATAGTATTCTGTATGAATATCTTTAAATATTTTAAAGTGAATAAAGCGTTTTGTCCATAAATCGTTTGAAAATATTTATATATATATGTTAAGAAAAATAGACGAAATTCTATTTGTGTATAACACTTTAAATGTTCAATATGAGATATTATTTGATATATGTATATTATAATTTTAGTAAATTTTAGTAATTTTTAAATCTAAACATGCATTTTTTTTGTAGCAAAAAGGTTCTTTACTATAAGAAAGTAATTCAGGAGAAACTATTCAACTCTGAATGAGCCCGCAAGTAATGAGTCCGCAAAGCCATAAAAATAATTTAACTCCAAAGAACATGGAGTCTAATGGATATTCTACCGGCAAGATTATGGATGAAAAAGCGACGAATCATTCATCTCCTTGTGAGTCAGTGGACTGTATGTGTGCTTAGATTGCTAATTTTTACTTTTTATTATATATTATTTATATTGGCTGATATATTGTTCATAACTGATATCTAGTTATTTTGTGCTTGTGATTATTATGTCAATTGTTTGAGAATTTTAATATTTTCTTAACTTAGAGATATATACATAAGCATAGTTTATAATATTAGTAAGATATTTATCACATATTTAAGCTAAATAACAAAGTAGATAATGCCTGCGATGAAAACTCACTCACAGTTATACTCATTTTGTTTGAGTATCCCCAAGTAAATATAATATTTGCAATAGACAAGTTTTTATTGTGTGCATACTTTTGCATTTCATTGAAACTATTTTTCTGCATGACAAGCTTATTAATAATCATATTTCTAGAAATTTAATCTCTCATAGTTATTGTAAAATTGCGCTTCTTAAATTGTTAATAATTATTGCCTTTCTAAAACTGTCCATATTTTGACACATTTTTAATTATATTCATGCACAAATTACAATAAATGAAATATTAATCACATATTGTTGTTATAGCGATGCCTTGGTTTGGAATGGATATAGGCGGAACTTTGTGTAAATTAGTGTACTTTGAGCCAAAGGATATAACTAGAGACGAGGCAGATGCAGAAGTTGAGACGTTAAAAAATATTCGTCGATATCTTACTAAAAATTCAGCGTATGGAAAAACTGGTCATCGAGATACTCATTTACAAGTTAGTTAATACTAGATATAATATAGAGTTAATATTAGATTTATATTGCTGCAATTTACTACTTGTATAGACTTGTTTTCCTAATTGTTTACTTAAACTGCTGTTCCAGATGAATAATGTTCGTATTAGAGGCAGACAAGGGACGTTACATTTTATTAGATTTCCTACGAGTGAAATGGGCAATTTTTTAGCATTAGCAAAATCAAAAGGCATGGCGAATCTTGTGACTACTGTTTTGCGCCACGGGTGGTGGTGCCTTTAAATTCGAAGATAATTTTAAAAAGGTGCGAAATATCGCATATCTTGATATTATTTAGTTATTATTAAGAATTAAGTTACACACATAATATCGAAATATTTCTGATAGGAAGTAAACATGAATTTGGCAAAATTCGATGAATTAGATAGTTTAATACGTGGAA